AGGATGAATTTCAATCGGAACACCCCGACCATTATCTTCCACTGTAATTTCTTTTTGGTCGGCGGAAAGAGTTATTTTGATCTCACTACAATAACCACCAACTGCTTCATCAATCGAGTTGTCAATTACTTCTTGAAAAAGATGGTGTCAACCTCGTTCATCGGTTGAACCAATATACATGGCTGGTCATTTTCTAACCTTTTCGATATCTTCTTTAGTAACCCGAATATCTTTAGCACTATATTCTTCTCGCTTTTCTTTTTCAGACATAAATTAAAATAATTTTGTAAATATTAATAATAATGGATTAGAAAGTTTCCTATTCTTAATTCTCTATATTAATGTCAATCTGTACATTTTTTATACAATTTATTATTAATATTCTTACAAAAGAGAATTTTATTAAAAAACTTTTTGGTAAAAATGGCAGAGGTGACAGGACTCGAACCCATAACAATCAGTTTTGGAGACTGACGTTCTACCAATTGAACTACACCTCCAAACCACGAGAATCATTTGTCACTCTCTGCACTTTTAATATGATGAATAATAAAAATTTAATAATTTTCAACCAATCCTAATATTTTTCATCTTTAATACATAAAGAATAAGCCGTATTCTGTTTTTAACCGGTGATCTGTCTTAATTCCTTGTGAGAATTACCAATTGAGATTATTTTTCTCTTTCTTTGGTGCTCCTACCAATTTAAAGAATTTGGATTGCTCGCTAGCGGGGTTTACGGCGTTCCACTTCCTCGGTTTCCCAAGTAATCGTCACTATGGCACTTTTATAGGCTAATAGACCATCTGCTGAGAAGAGAGAATAAAAGCATTTAGGTCATTCGCCAGCCGTCAGGATAGAGAACAAAAGTCCTGCCTAGGTTTATTGAACCTAGCACTAAAATTACTTACATTCCAGTAAGTGCGAGTACGGACTTTCCTCAGTTATGATATTACTCAATAACTGCCACCAGTCTTCATGTATTATATATTTATTTTAACTAATTTTATTTTCCTTAGTTAGTTCTTTGTGGTAAAAAATTTTGACAACAAACACAATAAAATTCTACTCTAAGTTTAGCATGATATCCACCAAGGCTACTCTTAGAAATTTGATTACCTCTTAAAAAAACTCGTCATCTTCATCAATCTCAAACTTTTCTTTTACTTTCATTTTCCCTTTGTTCTCCTTCAATCTCCTTTTTCTTAAAGGTCAATTTATGAGGACAATTCTCACATATAACATCAACTTCGCTACTACCAACATTAATTCCTTGCTCTTTTGACTTATTAACCTTAAAAGGCAATTCAACAATCCTAATTAGATCTTTTTTTTCTTTGTCTTGCTTGCTGGAAACAATTTCGGCTTTGGCCCGAATGTAAATAGTACCTCTACCTTTGGGGCATTCACCTTTTTCGTAGATTTCTAAAAATTTCTCTCGTTCTAACACTTGCCCGCCAGTGGGAAAATCGGGTCCAAAGTAATTTAATTTGATTTTTGGACTTTGGCAGGCCAAACATTGAGTAGTTTTCCCCCTTTCCTTTACTTTGACAATCAGCACATTCTCAATTAATTACTAATTCTTCGGTGTTAAGTTGCGGGTTATTAAGCAAATCAATGGTTAAGTCAACTACTTCTCCTAAATTGTGAGGAGGGAGGTTAGCGCTCATTCCTACCGCAATACCACTAGAACCATTGAGTAACAAATTAAGGTGGGGCGGTAATACTTCAGGTTCTTTTTCGTTGCTGTAATCGTTAACTACTCAGTTTACCGTTGTTTCATATTCTAAGTCTTTCAATAAATATCAACCAAAACGAGTCAAACGAGCTTCGGTATAACGAAAGGCGGCAGCAGAGTCACCATCGATTGAACCTCAATTACCTTGTCCGTCAACTAGGGGATAACGATAATTGAAGTCTTGTGCCATTTTCACCATTGCCTGGTAAATACTTTGGTCACCATGAGGATGGTATTTAATAATATCCCCAATTGCTCCCGGTACCTTTTTATGGGGTTTATTGGGTAAATAACCTAAGATATAAAAAACATAGAGGATATAACGCTGGACTGGTTTTAAACCGTCTTGTAATTGAGTTAGAGCCCGTTCTTCTACTACCTCATAACCGTAATCAGAAAATTTTACTAGCAAGGCTTCTTTGATATCTACTCTACTGTCAATTGCCTTTAACTCGGCATGTTTATATTCACCACTCTCTAAAAGTTTTTTCCGAGGTTCGCTTTTCGGACCCATTAAATCTTGAACGGTCTGTCAAATCGCCAAAGGGTCGGAATAAGTTAACTCATCAAGGGAACGTTTTTCCGCAATCATCACAATGTCTCGCAATTGTTTGGCGTTCATTTCTCCCAATCCTTTAAATCGTTGTAAACTACCGGTGACTTTTTTATTTTCTTGCCGATATTTTTCTCAAACATAGTCATCAGCAAAATATCTAACTCCTTCTTTGGTTTGTCAACGATAGAGCGGAGTAACCGCTAAATGCAAGCGACAATCTTCAATCAAATAACGAAAATAACGAATAAAAAAATTTAATCCTAAACATTCAATGTGTCTACCATCTGGGTCAGCATCAGCCATGAGTATTATTTTACCATAGCGAATTTTTTTTAATAATTTCTCTCGGCTTTTTTCAACTATTATTTCTACTTGTTCACGGGTAAGGGAAGTATGGGCGGGAATTATCTGCGCTTGACCAGTTTCATCTTGATAAATAAATTCTTCGGGAATTTCTAGTTCCTTTTGGATAATATCTTGGTCTAATTCGTTTTTAAAGAGATTATAATGATTTTGAGCCGCTTCCGTAACGCTAAGTCCTAAGGCATTCATTATACTGGCCACTTCTTTATTTTTTGAAATTTGGCTTCACTTGGCTTTTAGCACATTAAGAATTTTTCCTTGCACTGGTAAAATCGCTTGATTTTTAGGAAAACGAGCTGCCTTAGCACTACCACCCGCTGAATCTCCTTCGACAATAAACAATTCGTTATTAGCCACTTCTTTGGACATGCAAGGAACTAATTTGCCAGGTAAAGCAGCCCCTCTTACTCCTTCGCGCAGCGTTTCTTTGTATTCTTCATACTTGACCCGATTTTGGGCATTAGTAGTAATTAGTTGACTAATTGCTTCGGCACTATTAGCGTGGTCTTGAAGAAATTTTTTGACTAAATCATAAGTAGCGTTTTTAACAATTTCCCGAACCGTAGTTGCTTTTCCGATAGTCTTATTAGCTAAACGGTATTTGGTTTGTCCGGAGAACTGTGGATCTTTCATCCGGATAGCCAAAATAGCCACCAGCCCTTCCAAAACATCATCCTTTAAAACATTAACTTTTAATTGGGGATATTTATCTTTAATTCAATCCCGACAAGCACTAATTAGCCCGTTTTCAAAACCTTCAATGTGGCTTCCTCCTTCGGGGGTGCTAATGTTATTACAAAAAGATTTGACTATATTTTTCCTTTGCTTTTGATTATACTGAAAAGCAAAATTTAAATAAAAATATTCTTTTTTTTCCCCGGGGTTAGTTCATTCCTCAATACAGATTTCAGTATTTTCTAAATAATTATCTTGATTAACTTCTTTTACTCAGCCGGCTAAACCACTACTGAAATGGTAAACAATAGGAGTAGCATCAGGAGAAGTGGCGAAAAATAAAGTTAAATTGGGATTAAGATAAGCCAATTCATTTAAACGACCTTGGATAGTATCAATTTTGAAATAAGTAAATTCTTTGAAAATTTTGGGATCGGGAGTAAAAGTGATAATAGTTCCATTTGCTTGTTGAGGAGCATCAATAATTTGCGGTGGATTAATTAATTTTCCTTCTTGGAATTCTAGCATTTCAGTTTTTCCTTCGCGGGTACTGCGGGCTTTCAGATAAGCTGATAAAGCATTAACCGCAGTTACCCCTATTCCGTGTAAACCCCCTGAGGTTTTGTAAACTTCACTCTCTAATTTGGCACCCGAATGGAGAGTAGTGAAAATAGTTGCTAAGGTGCTTTTTTTGGTGTCAGGATGAATTTCAATCGGAACACCCCGACCATTATCTTCCACTGTAATTTCTTTTTGGTCGGCGGAAAGAGTTATTT